GACTACTGTTTTGCACGCAAACATAAACGTATCGTGAATTTTTTATTTCAGCTCGAACGCGTCGTTTAACGCTTTTCGGAAAAAGCGGGACAAAACGACAAGAGACCGTGTCGTTGGACAATTAATTCCAACGTATATCTCAACTAGCCACCTTTTCCAGTTTTTCATATTGCAGAGACTTTCGGTGAAAACAATTTTGTTTGCGACTCTTTCGTTATTTCGTGCTTTTGCTCAGGCACAGGTTCGCCGGTTGGTACAGTGTCGACAGGCTTTCTGTAACCATGAGGGGCGGCATTTTTGCGCTGAATTATTGATGTCAACGTAATGGACCTGAATGGGGCTGTGCGGATATATACACCGCTTCATCTTATATGCACGCGTTTGGAAACTACGCCTCTCTTTTTCTGCGCATACAACCGAGCGTCTGTAGAACATGCACAGAGTGCACGAAGCCGAATTAATTCAGCTTCGTCCCTCGATGGCTGGGTTCCCTGTCTGAAAGTCACGATCAAGGGGTGGAGACGAGAAAATTCAACGGGATATAATGGAAAATTATTGATACCATTAAATTAATCATCGTATTAAAATATTCAACCCGGACCCGTTGGATTCTCTGATTCCAGTTTTCTTTTCATTTTACGATATACCAAATATACCAAACCGTCTATATTCAAATATTCTAACAGATTAGGAAACGATTATGATGACGCGACACTTTAGACTAATGTATAATACTATTTAAGTAAATGAAACGAAAGAAAAACCTAAAATACTAAATTTCAAGCGTTTCATTGAAATACCAACCTATAACATTTTTATTGCGTATAAGGATATTTTGGAACAAAATTTACCAGAAACAATTGAAAATATGCCAGTAAAAATTGGCTGCAAACTCAACTATTACAAACCATGGAATGGTCTGCTCAAAGTCCAGACATGCGATTGAAAATGTATGGGCATATTTAAAAATAGAGTTAGAAAAGAAATATAGTGCTTTCTCAACAACGATAACTGATTTGTGGCAAAGTGTGCAAGAACAATGGTATTCTATTACACTATAGTATCACGAAAATGTAGTATTAAGTATATCTGAACGTATTAAAGCAATTATCTAGGTAAACGTTCATGAATGAATTATTAAGTGTACCAAAATCCGAAATGTTTACTCAAAATTAGATAATACGAAGTACTTTGTCTTCTTCGTATTCTATATGCAAATATCGAATAAAAAATTATTTTTGTTAAAATGTCCTATGTGTGTTCAGTTTTGCTCCTTATTGTACATGGGTGAGACTTTTAACTTTGGAACTGAAACAATCAATTCTTAAGTTACTGAAACAAATTTTAGGTTGTGCAGTTTACAATGGTCTAAAATAACAATTTTAGTTTTGCAGAATATTATATGAAGAGACCATACTATACGAACTTAACTTCACCGTAAATCAGAATACGGTAAAATATATAAAAAAATAATATGGTCGACGAGTAGTGTATAAAAATAACGACTCTAATTTTCATCAGTACGTAAACGAAAAATCGTTGACCGTACGAGTTGATGACTCGTGTCGGAGAGACATAAACGTGATGAACGATTCCGTTACTTAAATCTTGCAGAAACGATAACTCGAGAACCGAGGTCACCGTGCATATTAAATACAATACCATAACTGTGAGTAGCTAGTTCACTTAGAGAAACAGCAACTGGTCAGCAAGCATCATGAATTTCGATGAAGATACTTGTACGATGTTTCGAGCAAAGATAAGGCAGATGCCCATAGGATACCCGTGGAACATCCACGCGCATCCGTTTGTTTTATTAATCAAAGTGGGGTAGCATGTATCTTGTAATTTGTAGCTTACATAGATACGTATACACGAAAGAGGGAAACCCGGAATTACCGACTGGCTGTGTGTATTAGTATAATAATATATAAAGCGGAACTGGAAACGGGCGTGTGTTCTGCTTGGAACACAATCGCTTACACGAGTTGAATTTCTCTTGTAACTAGAATCGACAGTCGACTACGAATTGCAGCCTTCGGTTACGACATTGTAAATCATCCGGCGTAAGGAGTACGTTCTGTTTGACTTTGACACACGAAATGTCAGTCGACGCGTATTCGTGTTCGATTCTCTGTGTTTGCGAATCGGGTCGCGTTCCTATTTTATTGCACTTTACCCTTCGCTGCGAATTGCGTTACCATTGCGCGGTAATTAACGGTTCTAACAAGAATCCTGTGCGTCTCCGTGCGTACATAGCTCGACAATTATCCGAATTCAACCGAGAAACTTTTGAAAATTCAATCTTTCGTAAACGAGTCGCGTTTTAATGGTATTTGCTTGATCTTTGTTTCGTTTTGACGCTAACTTGGTCAATTTGTCCCGATGCTCGCGAGTGCATCTTTCTTCGGCGAGTCAGAGACAGGGCTAGCCTACTTTCTCTGCGAAGAGAATTTTTAACCGATGTGTGAGGGTTCCCTTTCCCTGTCTTCTCGACTCTCTTTCTCTCTCTCCCACCCTCGGTTCGTTCTCTCTCCGTTTGGTCGTCCCTCTTCATTACTTCTCGAGGTCTCGCTCTCTCCTCCCGGGTCCCTCGTTTCCTCGATTTACTCGACAACCCGAGTCGAGAATTCCGTCGACCGGTACCCCTCTCGAAGTCTATATAAGCGGCGCGTTCAAACGAGACTGAGCATTTTTTGTGTTAGTAGTACGGGACTCCGTGGTGCTTCAACGTGAAAGAGGCTCGGCCGGTTGAAAAGTGTCAGGATGGTGTGCGCGACGCGATACGACGGATCCGTGTTCGATTAAAGCCAAGAAATCGCTGGGACCGACGCCTGACGGGCGCTCTTCTCTTTCGAGTGACAAGAAAGTAACGAGAACGGAGCCGAGAACATCCAGCGAGTGTCTTTAAATTGGTGTACAGTGCAACGATTTTACGTTCGTGCAACATGATTCGGATCGAGGTAGGTGATCGTGGAATTTATTCTATTTTAAAACGACACTGTACACGTTGGTGTACTTAAAAAATCCCTCCTACGTTCAAAATTTCTCTAAACAGGATTGGGAACGTGCGAAGAGAACGAACTTGTAAACGACGAAAAGAGAAATTGAGCTTGTTTGCCCTGTGAGAAAATCCTTGGTTGCCTGGATATTAAGTATTTTTATTTGGGGAATCTGAGTAGATAAAAATATTATGAAAGTATACAAGAGCTTATGTAGAATGGAGAAGATTTGCAGGCCTGGTGAAACAGAAGTATCTAATTTAGAAAAAAAACAGTCGATTCTATATTTTACTCTTTGTTCCCATTAGGAGACATTGAAACTAAATTAGGAGGTCTAGTTTTATGTTGACAAACTACTTAAATATTTTGAATATTTGCTTGACGGGATGGAAAAATTTAGAATCGATATAAAGGACATCTTTCAACGTGATCATGATTCCAAACAAGATTCCTGCATCATTAAATCGTGGTTTCAAACGAAACAGTGGCCTAACTAAACTCTAAAGTGACTACCACCATATACAGATTCGAATCCCATTGACAATCTTCGTCAATTAAAGAAAGAAGTTACTCAATCAAATAAACCATTTTACATCTATTATTACGATGATAAAAATGTATGAAATTAGTCTTGAACGATGCAGCTTTATGGAAAGCGTGCCCAGAATAATTCACAAAATATTAAAGTTAATTGACGTCGGGTCACATTATTCGTATCCAGTATTATCGTTTAATTATTTTTCGATATGTTTTGTATTTTTTTATATTAACGTAACGCTTCGTGAAGGTGCATGATCAATTTCGCGAGACGCTGAAAGTGCAAACCAAGTCGCCACGTGGTCGGCGGTGAAATGTTGACGTAGGAACGCAGTGGTCGAAATAAATATTGGATTTTCCAGCGAATCGTATCGCTCGATAAGAAGCGACGGCTTCGACCGCGTTACGTGCACGCATCTTACGTGGTTGCAATATATGACTATGTATGAAGGAGGTGTTTGACCTAATCACGATCTGCCTACATCGATGCACTTACCTATCTGCCTATTCAGGGTACTACCTACGTCTAAACTATTGCACACGCGATTTTGCTAGCCGTGTCTCGGTAGATTTACGTACGAGGATGAAACGTAAACGAGCCTTTTGGAAATCAAACGAGAATTTTGAAATCAAGCTTTTGTTTTCATTCTCCGTAAGAGATATTAAATTTTACGTTCAAGTTCTTTCTATTTGTTTGAATTTATTTAGATTCGGAATGCTGGATGATACTAATAAAATATACAATTTCCTTCAGGCTTTACATTGTTGGAAACAGCATAAATTTAACGATTAGTTAGATAGCGTAGTTTTTAACAGAGTTTTACGCGTTGGCCTGTTGCCATCTCTTGCACAAATCAACCACCGCGTCATGAAGTTTCGTAATCTGTACACAACTGATTTTTACAAACAAAATAAATTGCCTGTATCTCCGTCGAAGCGGATTTGGAAACCTGCGTTGACTTGATATTTTCTGTCTATTCCTGCGAGCTAAACTCCATCTTGATGATACTCCGAAAGCTTTGTTTAAATCTTTTTCGAACGATTCGTTCCGGTTCTCTTTAGCAACAGAAAATAACGATTTACAGCATAGCTTTTATAGAAATTTTAAAAGAAATCAAAGAAATATGAACTAATTATAATATCTATTTATATTCAAGATAATTAGTAACCAATTTGACTGATTAAAAAGAATTTTGATTATATACGTAAATATATATAAACATGCCACAGACAGACTTGAAATAACGTTCAATATTTAAAAATAATATCCACGAAAGTATGTACGGAAAAAGAAAGAATATATTTTATATAGTATACAGTTTCAAAGACGAAGTTCAATATTTCTGCAATCGACAGGTATTTTAATCATGTTTAACTGTATTAGAAAAGAAATATGTCACAAAGTGTAAATCTTTTTCCAACTAATTTTTCAGACCTTTTCGATGAAAAAAAATAATTGCAATGTTGTAAGTTTTCAAAATCACGTGGAAACTTTAAATCTATGATTGAAAAATAGTATAATTTAATACAGAATGAGTTGAAAATATGCGACCATTTGTAAACTTAGTTTAATAAAAGTAAAACTAAAGTTACTGTTTTAAATACCCAAGCTTCAACGCGATTAATAATTGTATGAAAGTTAAATTTGATTATAATTAATAAGGAATAATTCAATTTTTACGCGTGTCTATATGGATCATAGAAATCTATGACAAGGTTTGCACTCTATGATCTTTGGGTAAAGACTATAAGTCTCTCGCTGCACTTCTGGTGAATGCAATTGGGAGAAAGTGTGGCATATTATGTTAACCTTGCATTCTCGGTCATTGTCCCACTTAAGACTTTCAAGCATGATTTCTTGATGACTCTTACAAATTACAACTTTTACACGATTTCTTGTTTCCTGTTTATCTTTTACCAGAAACGGAACGATGTTGCAGTTCAATAGAGTATTGCGCATAATTGATACCTTAAAAAGAGCACGAACTTTCTTCTACCTCTTATGTTGTAACTTAAAATTACGTTTGGCAAAAGAAAAAATCTTTCCTAACATTTGTTCAAATTATATAAATATAGAAATATTCGATAATTCAATGGTAAAGTTATTTTACAATATTCCAAATTAAAGTAAAATATTGTAACACGTTGTAAGTTCAAGTTTTTTTATGCACGACCCTTGAAATTGTCTCCATTAAGAGAAAAAAATAACTTCTTCAAAAGAGAAGGTCGATTAAAGTTTAAAAATTTCAATAATTTTACTCTAATCCTATCTGTAACTCTATTCTTAAAGTTTCGTTGACCAATTTATTATTATTTACTGCCAAATTAGTAGTAAATACGCGGTGAAGTGAAAAGCAAGAAGAACATTTTTCAACAAAAACGATTGCTTCGCGATAGTTGTTGCAAATGTTGTTAACCTATTAGCTGGTATGCTTAAATTATATGAACTTTTTTCCCCTGCCATTTCTGTTATTTCTTAGTACGCATATTTTGTCATAATTAATTGTTTACATGCATAAAATCAAACATGAATATACTCGTGGCTTAACAAATTAAAAGGAAGCTTGTGTTTTAATTTCAGATGACAATCACGCTGCTGTGTGTCCTTCTGATCGGACACCACGTACACGCAGTGCTCAACAAGGGTCAAGTATCCCCTGCCAACGAAGAAAAAACCGAAAATAAGATAAAGGCTGACGATAGGATAAGCAATTCGTACGGTCCACCGTCCAAGGAATACGGAGGTCCGATTGTAACGGAATTCAAAGGGCCAGCGCCGGTTTACGGACCTCCTGAATTAGTAGGCGATCAAGGACCAACGCCTATATACCCACCACCGCCGCCAGACGTACCACCGCCCGTCTATGGGCCGCCATTGTCCTCGTACGGCCCACCGCGAAATATCAAACCACATTATGGACCGCCGAAACAAAGTTTCGGTCCTCCCTTGGCACCTTTGCCATCCAAGTTCAGCTTCGGTTCCCTGAAACTTCACTACGGACCGCCCAAGCAACACTACGGACCCCCCTATTTATTCTCCTCGTTCAGACCACCGAAAACTCACTACGGTCCTCCGTTGAAATTCACCTCCAACGGTTTATCCAATCAATACCTTTCCGTGGCATCTTCGAGCCATGGGTCACCGAAACCAGGTCACGGTCTTCCGATACCCGTGCCTCTGGAGTCGTACGGTCTACCTGCTCAGCACCTAACCGTTCAGTTCAACTCCCAAACGAGCGACAACTACGGACCACCGTTGCTTCCGTCTCCGTCGAACGGTCACTACGGTCCACCCGGCGGTGATTTCTACGGGCCTCCTGCGCCCCATCCGCCGCCAGGAGTCCCAGCCCCACCCACGCCGCCCGATATAAAATACGACGGCTGGCAACCGATCGCCGGGGACAATTACGGGCCCACTCACAACGAGCAAAAGGCGCTGGAAGGTTCCTCGAACGTCATCGAGAACCCGAACGTACCCAACGACTCGTACGGAGTCCCGATACACAGTCCCGAGGCTCAGGATTTGAAGAGCTCCGTGCACTCGGGCTCCGTCGAGAACGACGGTCTGCCGCCCCCGCCGTTGCCGCAGTTCGAGCCGTTCCACAACGAGAATCAAAATCCGCCCAAGAAGCACGAGCCCGAGAAACTTCTGCAGTACCAAGTACCCAAAGTCAAACCGCTCTCCATCGTCAAGACAGTAGGTTTCGAGTTGCTGCCCAATTCATTGGCTTCAGACTCGAACGGCGCGTCCCTGCCAACCTTGAAATTACCTGTCCTCGACGTTGGACATCAGAGTTTCGGAACAGGAGAGTTCCACTCGTTCGAAAATCTAGGGAACGAATTACCAGGGAGCTACGGGTTACCGTTATCGAACGTTCACTTTGGGAAATTGAACTCCATCGAGTCTGGACTACCACTGCCGCCCCCGCCTCTGCTCGACTCGTACAGCGCGCCTCCTCTGTCATCCTACTCATCGAACGGCCCATATCCGGAGGCAGGCAGAGCGTCGTCGTTCTCCGGGTTTTTGCATAAACAGAATCCGCATCATCACCGTCCTCACGGATCGTTCAGAGTGCCTCTGTCGCCTCTCGGTGCTCTGATACCACCCAGGAACCGCGAACCCATCAAATTCAGGGAACCCATTCCCACGGGTCTCGTGAACAACCTGAACCGTTATGTACCACCGAAACTGATCAAGCCAGGCTACAATCCGTTCGAGCAGCAACTGCCCAGTTTGACAGCTCCTGTAGCCTTCAACAAACTGGCCAGCATCGGCCTGAACTCGCCGATTGCAACACCGAATGTCCAATACGGAACGCCCTTGTCCTTCGGGGACTTCAACACTCCGGCGCCAGTTTTGACTTACGGCGCGCCGAACTTTGGACCAGCCTCTTCGTTCGTTTCCGCCTCTACGGGCTTTGGAAAGAATCTGTACGACAATATTGGCAGCGCTATTGCAACCACTTATGGTACTCCAGTGGTGAACGCTCCGCTGTCATCGAGCTTTGGCCACGACTGTGGTTTCCACCATTCGAGTGGCGCGCAGTATAGTTTGCAAGACACTGGGGTTCGCGCTCCAAGCTTCGGATCGGACGTCCACGGTTTCGCCAGCTCCGTTTCGTCCAGCCACGCACTTCTTCCCGATCTCAAGCTGGAGCAGCAGAGTTCCACTTTGAAGAACAGCTACGGGGACTTGGACGTTTCGTACGACGCGCTCGAACACGCCGACAACGTGCTGTCCAGCGATCACAGCCAGTCGTCAGCGATCGCGAACGTGATTTCCGCCCCACAGTCCACGCAGTCGGTCGAGATCGGTGAATATAAACACGAGGGTGGAATAACGGCCGAGGCGCTGACAGCCAGTTTGACGGAGCAAGGATTCGGCCAGGCGAAGAACCTTGCCGCCAGCGACGTGGATGCTAGTCAATTCCTCAATACACACGAAGGGAGCGAAGCTCTGTCCCTGGCGAAGGGGCTGACGGTCGCCAGCGGGACCGACGGGTTCGAGGTTCAGGGCTCCAAAGGGACGTACACGTTGCAAATTCAACCTGCAGACGGCGGATTGGGAACGGAGAATTCGGATGGAAGCATCAGGCACGATCAACTGCTGAACAACGGCCTCCTGCAGGACATCCTCGCGGCCATCGAGCAGCCCAGCCAAGGAGACGTGCAATTACAAGGTCATCCGGAGGCGCAGTCCCTGCAACAAGTTTACAGCGACTTGTCGCAGTCTGGAAGCGTGAACGTCCCCAAAGGACACTACATCACGGTGGATGAGAGCGTGCAGAGAAACGAGGAAGCTGGCCGCGTCAGCGACAGGAGAGAGGCAGAGTTTAACGAAGCTGATTCCAAGGAAAAAGAGACTGTTGCTCTTTTCTTCGATAATCAATACGGCGACGCGCGAAAGGAGACCAGGTCTCTGACGAAAAGTGAGACCGTGGCATCGTCGGGGGATGGGAAGAACGTTGGTAAAGCAAAATCCTCGTAAATCGTTTAGAAACCATTTAAGATTTTTGTTGTTAATGTATGATAATTTATGTAACGGCGGGGAGACTCGTTTTATTTTGTTTTAGCGAGTTACGATGGTGTACGTTTAAACGTCCGACGATCGGGAATTGGCCAGCTGTAGTTCGCGTTGTCGCGTTAGAGAGAGACGACTCGATGGCTAGGCACATACAATAGTGATAGGACCTTCGCACCCACGAGAGATACATTTCCGTTCTATTCATGGCTGACACTCTGAGTTTATATTGGGTTGTTCGGAAAGTAATTTTGCTTTTCTTCTTCGTGGAAAGGAATAATGGTGCCAGATCTGGCGGGTATGGTGGATGTGGTAGGACATCCCATCCAAACTGCCATAGCTTTCAGACGAGTTACTAAACTTGCGTGAGGTCTGGCATTATCACGATGAAACCCAAATGTCGAGCTTCGAAACGAAACCAAGTCGTTTCATGCGATCACAAACGCTTGACTTCGACAAATTTAACCTCTTAACGATTTCTCGTGTTGTTGTTCGTCGGTTCGCTTCAACCAATACCTTTATTTCGCCTTTGTCGGCTTCAACTGGCCTTTCAGAACGTGGAACACCTTCAACATCAAAATTAACTAACGTGCCCATTCTATTCTCTATATATAGAGATAACTCTTTTCAACCCCTGCTATGAAACGAAATTCCATTAATTTCACAACGGGTAGCACCGATTAAGCAATCGTAATCGTACAACGATCCGTTCGAATGACGCTCAACGTTGTCCAGGCTCTTCCGTTGGTAGAAGAGAGAAACGAAACCGGAAACGAATAAAAGTGTTCGAAACGATGGTTTTTCGGGCGGCAGAGTAATCGGTGTCACGGCCATTGTCGAACGTCTCGCGGATAACGAAATTCCGTACCGGTTTCGGCGCGTTCGATCGACGCATCCGAAGCCCTCGTCGATGACGCTGTATTTTGCAATACAGATTTTACGAGGCATTTGGGTCACTGGGTTACACATATTGTTGCTCTACGCGGAACCCAGCGAGAGGCGAGAATCGAGCAACTTTCATCGGTCGTACGAGAGAAGCGGTAAAACGATCGCCTGTCTCGCGCTTCCACGTCTTTAACCTTCACCGAGGTGAAAGTTCAGAAACTCGTCTAACTGCTTCGCGTAATGACTCTTACCTTTCGCGGGAATCTCGTTTCCTGTGAAACGCATTGCCCCGACTCTGCGGGCATTTAGACGCAATACACGCGGTTTTGCATACCTTTGTCACAATAACTGGCAGATATGCATACATCTAGTCCGTTGTTTTCGATGGGATGCGCCTGCAACCATTTACGTGGGGCAGATTTTTACTCGAAATTCCGCCCGCGGTTCTTTTTTTAGCATAACAATCACGCTCGCGATGGAAACCATTGCGTCTAGGTTGGGACTCAAGGTGTTTTCCTAAATTCTGCCTATTTCATTTCGTATTATATCAAAGGCACGTATAATATTTTGATCGAATTAAATCAGATTGTGTATTTGACAATTACATTAAAACACCTGAAGATCCTTGTGTAATATCAATTTCTTATTTTCAGTTATTGAATGGTTTAGGAAAGGCTTTATTGTAACAAAAATATTCATGCAGTTACGATCGTGACAATTTTACCCACGCAATTTCTATGTTCGATAAATTTTCTTTCTTTCCTACCAAGTTGCAAGTGTTGTCCTCGCCAATTTGAGAACGTCGAACGACACGAACTTGGATCACCAAATGTTCGAAACGCGAGTATTGTTTAAAGTAGCGAAATAGACTGGTTTAATAGCGCAGCTAGGAACGTTTATTAGTTAAAAAAATGAAGCACCCAAAGATACACGAGTCACTCTTGTACAGAGCAGTAAAACCTGCCGCTCGACACGTTTGATAACCGTTGCGATCGCTGGCGGAAATATAACCATCCGAGAGATATAAGTAATAAAATGTTAACGCGTTCGCATGCGCGTCTGTATGCTCATCGACGCCGTGTTTTAACGCCGTGCACGCATTTTGTATTCGAGGGTAATCTTAAACTTGTTGTACTTTTATAGTGCTGGCTGGCAAAATGGTTATGCATAATTCAGTGTATTGCAGATACGTAAAATAAGTAAAGCGTACAAGGTTAAGAGATGCTCATTGTTAAGAAATACGCAGTGACGGTGCTGCCAAGCCATAAAACGCGTCCACTCGCTCCTAACTCGTAGACACCTTTCCTCTATTTTTTTTTTTTGTTTTTTTTTGTATGGATTAATTTATTATTTTGTATACGCGGAAATCTTGTTTGACAGCGTGTTGTTCATACTGGACGAGCGATCGACGTTATCACGCGTATTGACTGTATCGTTTATGTTATACAACGTCGCGTTAAGTATGTAAATATATGATATATTTGTAAATAGAAAGATATCTTTATTTCCGTTCCTTACGATCCTTTCACAGCAGACCGTTAATCGTTCCCAATGATACGGCGATTCAAGAAGCAGCTTTTTATGTATTATTTATTTTATTTAACCCTTAAGTGGACTCTCAATCTCAACTAAATTATTTTACTTGACGTTGATTTTTACCAAGTTGGTAAATGGAAATCAACTTTAAAGTATCTAAAAACTAATGAATTAATGGGGGATTACATAAATTTTCAAATAATTACATTGACATATATTAAATAATTATTAATAAATACCAATAATCCATTTAAGGGTTAATTGACTTAATTAGGATGACTTCGAGTTTGCATGTTTACTCTTTCTATCTAGTGAGGTATAATTCCCCATACTTTCCCCATACAAGCAGCTTCCTATATATTGCTTTATTTCGATCTTTAAAGCTCATTTTCATGAATGTTACAAAATACGGAAATCAGTGTTTAAAGCTGGGAAAACCATAAAATTGGATATACGTGTTAATAATTTCTTCCATAAAATGTTATTCGATTATAGAATATTTAATTAGAGTCTGTAGTGTGGAGCAACAAAAAAATAAATTAACAAACATACTATTATAATATAATATAAAATAATTGGTTAAGTATTTACTGTATCGAAATGTATTTCAAATTGCATTCTTCTTAATGAAACATACAGTCCAGTAATCACGGTTCTCCCAATATTTCTTTTCACATTTCAATAAAACGTGATTGTTAACATGTAGGCCACTTTTCTTTAGAAAGGTAGGTTATTACATTTGTATTATTATTTCTAATTCCAGTATGTATTTGTATTATTATTTCTCATTCCAATATGCGATTTCTAATTTAATTTTTATTCAAATTCTTCGTTTATTACGATCGTTAATTTTACAAGCTTACTTAGTATCACTGTTACTGTTATTTATTAAAAATCAGAACTTTACGACTCGAAATCTCACTAATCATTAATTTCACACATGATAATAAAGATGCTTTATCGAAATTTAACGAAAAATATTGGGCATTTCATTAAAACTAGAATTAAAGAATTACAAGAATTAAAACTTGCGATTATTGGAGCCTGGAGTAATATAGACAAAAATATTATAAAAAACTTTATTGCAAGTATGCAGAATCGAATTATCGATATACTTCGTAGTGGTGGAAACGTAATAAATTATTAAATTTTTGTTTTCGTACATAAGATTTAAAATGAAATGAGGTTTGTTTACAGTAGGTATTTCCATCATTTAAGTTATTAATTACAATAAACTAACGGAACTGCTTTTGAATATTTATTTTTATAGTACTATCTAGCTTAAATTATTTCCAAAATATCAAATTCCTAACATTTTAAGGGGTTGGTATATTTATGATGCGCACTGTATTTCCCCTATCCGTCCACTGACTGTTGTCCGCAACTGTTTACTATTTACTTTGCTCGAGTGGATTATGCAGTTTTCTTATCAACGTCATAATCTCCAATTGGAACATAATGGTCGGAAAGGTAGGAAATCAGGGTCTGTTAAACGTTGCTCCGCCGCAAAAGCCGCACACGCATGGACATCGAATAGCGTCCTCCAGCATCCCGGCGCTCTGTTTATCTCGATCGCGCCATCTTCCCTTTACGCTGCTCATTCGGTGTGGCCGTAATCTCGACTTTCAACGACCGAGGAATCGGGTTTTCGGCTCGCGGCTTCATTACCGCGCAACGTTTTTCGAGGCGAAAGTGTTTCTTACGAGGAAACAAACAGGTACGCGGATATTCGGCCGCGGAGCCGGGAATTCTGGCACGACGACGCGGAAACGAAAACGTATGAGGGGAATTAGGCATCCTCCACTAAGTAGGATTACGGTTATGTAAATGAAACGCTATCGCGACGGTTAAGTTAGCGTGGACATTTAGCGTCTCGGTCTCTCTGCTCGTTAAAATCGCTTTTCGTGCAATCGAGCCTCCGGCCCTCTTCGTTTTCACTTCGTTTCTTTCCCTTTGCTTCGGCTACTCCGACCTCGTGCAGTTCTCCTCGTTTCTTCCATTATTCCGTTCTTCGTGGACAATGCGATCATAAGGCTTCCTTTGCAAACTGAAACTCGACTAAACCATGAGACTGTTCGCACGTTTTCGGTTATAAAACCGTGCGTGCACGGCAACGCCAAGATTTCCGCTCGGTTAATTTGCCCCCGACAACGGAGACGCGTTAATTGTTGGTCCTCCTGACTCAAACACCTCTTGACACGACCCGTTAAATACCAGGGCTAATAAACGCGCCAAATTCCGACGAAATTTCGTTCGTTGCTACTGTTTAGGCACGAAACAAACATTAGAGTTTATTATCGTCAAAATTAGCAAAATTAAAATCATAAAATTATAAATGTTTCCTTTCTATTAAATTCACTGCGCCTAGATCTAGAAAAAAGGTTAATTGTAAAAATTTAAAAGATTAAGAGATTTTTTTGGTCATTGTTAAAAATGAACATTACATTACTAAATAAAGTTATTTCGTTCTATTAAAAAATTGTCTTTTTTTTTATTAAAAAAATCTGCACTTATTTAATTGTCAAACCAATATTTTCAAAAAGACTCATCCCTAAACGCGACGACAGTCATTTTTCGACGTGCTTTGTTGAAAGCAACGTTATTTGCTCGTGAGCGACGTTTGATCGTCAAAATGTAAATGTTTATGCCTTTTCTGGTTAGAAGAATTCGCTCCTTGCACAAAAAGGCGTCTGTATTCTCTCCTTTGACATCGCTGAATTTGTCTGTGCGTTCTCTGATTTTTTTTCAATTAACTTCCGACAATTTTCCAACTTTTGCTGGTCGCGGAACCGTACCTGATGGATCGTCGCGGAAGATTGTAGCTCTGGCTCCGCCGTAAACGGAGAAAGGTAATGCAGCGCGTTTACCGAGATTACAATTACCTCAAGCAGAATGCCAGACATCTTAAAGAACATTTTTCAAACAAAAGAAGAACGACGTACATAATTGTATAATTTCTCGCTATCTTAACGAGGACAATCGCTGCACGACGCTTGAACGTTCTAATAAGATTTAGAGTGTAGTAAGCACGGAACAAAGTATTTAATTTACCGGGTAAAACGTTTCTTACATTTACCAGCGAAAGAAGATGTTTAATTTATGATCGGCATGACTTCAACGGCTTTAGTGGGCCATTTAGAAGATTCTTCATATTTTCCTGTTGCTTGCAGATACAACGAAGGTTCGAACTTTCTAAAATGTTACTCTTAATATTCTCTTAACATAAAAACTGTTAGACGTTGCGACCCAGAAAATTATTACAACTGTTTAATGCACAGAATGTTTCAGATAAATACTTGTGTTATATATTGTCGTATGAAAAAAATTACACTGTTTCAAGAAGCACGCGTAGCGGTGGAATGAACTTTTTCTCAAAATATTTCGATTCAAACAAAAAGATACAAACACTCTTAATCGAATTGAACAGTCAACGCGTGTAAATACTTCGTTTCGTTTAATCGTACGTAATTGGTGCGCGACAAACAGTGACGAATCGTGTAATTTAGGTACTTATTGACATAATTGATTTATCGGCCTACGCGATTTTAGGACCAGTAAATATCAATTGCCAAGTGAAATAATTAGCCGTGCAATTGAGAAATATTGGGGATTTAAGGATGTGACAACTTTAAATAGATACGAATGTGGTTCCTAATTAGGTTGGTCCAATTAGTAAGGTAACATTTCAGTCGTGTAATTAATATATCGCCGGTTGGCCTGTCACGCATGACAATCGAGCAAGATAATGCCATCGCTGCTTCGATCGCGGAAAACGAGGCATCGTCCATGGCGTCTCAGGTGTTTTAACCTTGAAATACGGGTAACCCTCCTATAACGCGGTAGATATTATATTATACCCAGCACTAGTATAAAAAAGGGAGTTACGTTCCGAAAACTTATTAAAAACAAACAGTTTTTTCTAATTCTACATAAACCATTTAATTTTTATGAAAAATATAAACGTATGTATAACGCAAAACAAAAAATATTATTTTAATTTAACGCAACCTTGATTTAATAAATTATAATTTGTTTATATATTTTCATGCAAAGCCACTATAGTTCATTATTTTAAGGTAATTCAGTTTTTAAATATGTTAAGCAAAAATCACGTTATCCAGTGCTGTAGAAGTACAGTGTTTTACAAAGGTTTCCGGAATTTTCTTATCGTGTTATTATTAAAATAAATGTATCACTTAATTAAATGTTGACTGATATTGAATCACGATTTTATATCAAACGAATTACAATGACATTTTATAAGGAGACCCTAACCGTTATACGTAACTGAAATGAAGAGAAATTTCTGTATCGTCGGGAAGAACAGAGATATTACGTGTACTCGAGGCAAAGAAAAAAAAAAACACTCTGTATTCCGTTTCTTTCAATTTCCCGAGAAATGTTCTCGTTCGATTCGCGTTTAGTCGCGGCGCCCTTTACCCAGAACAGATACAACGATTCACGGAAGATCGCGAGAATTCATAGACGTCAGGCGGGATATTGTTCCGCTTGATCGATCGGCAGTTCAGCAGGGTTAATCGGAAAATCTCCGTAGAAAATCCGGTTCCATGGGGAGGGAGCACGACGGCTATGGGACGGCTCGAGTACACGCTGCGTAACAACCAGAGGGAAAAATGACAGACGACGACGGAGCGCGAAAAACCGTAGAATCGCGGGACGTGAGGGAGGCGAGGAGCAAGAAAAGGGCGACGCACAGTGCGTCCAAGAGGGACAAAAGTAAAAAAAATCCACTTGCTCAGAGGCAATAATGGGATTCATAGACACGTTGTTGGATAGTATTAGAATGAGAATATGTATTGGTAAAACGAATGAACAGTCATCGATTGTTTCGGGAGAGGAAAGAAGGAAAGAGTTAAAAAAGTGCCTTTGTACCCCCGCCAGACACCTAAAATATTTATCATTCTACAGATTCTGCACTTCGAATTTCGCACAATTGTTTATAGCAAATGACGAAAGATGAATCATAGCTTTCTGTCTTAATGTCTTTAAAATAAAATAAAATCTCGAATCTAAAAGAATCTAAGAATGTGGTCTTAGGTCAGGAATGAAAGAAAAATTTTGAATATTTCATAACATTGTATTTACGAATGTTTCTTTTTGATATGACCTGGCCCATAGATATAAATGATTTAAAAACTAAAATACAACAAACATGCGTTTTCCTGCACAAGGAATTCATATTGAAAATAATTTGTAATGTTATTAATAAAGAGTTTTTATAAACACAATATTATGATATATTCAAAATCTTTCTTTCATTCCTGATCTTCCATGACCTCGAAGGTCATCATATAGTACACGAATGAACTCGTCTTGATAAACGCTTTCAGATGACATAAAAAACTATGACACTTCGTATAAAAAATTGAGGGTCGCCTTCATTTCTCGTGAAATAATGCACATAGGGAACAGTTAAGTTTCTCTTTCATTTTCTTCTAATTAGAATGGCTTTCGAAAAAAATCGGTAGCTAGTAATAACGTAAACAGTGATACAGTGATTAAAATAAATTAATCATTGACAAGTATTTATATTAACACGCGGCATATAAGAAATTCGATTCAGAGTTTCGACCATTTATCAGAAAATAAGAGAGATTTGCATGAAATTTTGAAATAAATGACCGATAATAAATATAAAGTCAGCATTTTGAAATAATCGTCAATTTTAATTTAATTATTTACATATAAATGCGCCACGGTTTTCATTGTATAGATATGCAACTGTGTTACTTTAAATACAGACTTTAAGAACTACTACATCCAGGTTGTATAGTACATTTAACTTTGTTCTTCCAATCGCACTTCTGTCCTTCCTGACTGAACCAAAGACCTCGTGGACACTCCATGGGGATTGGTTCGTATCCCAGGCAAACGAAATAGGTCGTGCAACTGCATGGATGCGAAATTAATACATAATCACCTGTGTCATTTTCTGGACAAGTAACCTCTTCTACTGCGTCTGCGGTATACAAGCTGATCGCAACGATAGCAAGGACTGCGAATATGGCTGAAAAAGAACATCGAAACAAATTAGTTTACAGCGTTTTACCACCTTACTTTATTATCGAAACAAGTTGGCCCGGATTACTTTGCTTCGTTAGAGGATATTTAACAATTTTACGATTACAAGACGTAAAAAGTTCATGCTGCTAAATTCTGACCTAAAATGTATCAATTGTATTCCTGTCGAAATAAATAAAGTTAAAGAAAATAGAACGGGAGGCTTATTTAAAAAATTTTTAAACCGATCGAGATTTTCAATATTTTCAAGAATCTCAAGATGTATCCAAAGATTCAAGATTCGACACTTTTAAAGGTTTTCGAACCACACTTCAAGTTGAGATTCCAACAGCCATTATCAGTCGTGAGTGGAACTTACCTTTCATTTTGCCTTGGTAATGTAAATAGTTGACTGTTCTAACTTCGTGTTGCTACAACTGATTTGCCGGAATTTGGAAACCCTTTATATACGAAACCCACCGATTGATTGTCTTTATCAGCAAATAATTCTCTTGTTGCCTCGTGTGTTCTTATCGATTGCAACGCAATAAATATTATTTGTGTATAGATACGGTACGTTCTCGAACGTTCAAAGATAATCGATTAGCGCGGTTACGTTTTCTAGGAACGATTTCGAGGAATCGTGAAAAATATTAATCAGTACCCTCAAAACACTGTTATACTTAAGGGGCTCGTCTCTTAAAGAATATAGTCTTTGAAATATGTGTGTGAGCGGCTGGAATCATCATGGAAGACATTAGAACATTTTTTGTACTGCCACCAATTTTGACTATTTCTCGTTGTAAAAATTAGTAAATATTACTGAAAAAGTAATAAATATATGTGTGAAGAACTTGCATAGTTTCTTTATAAGTAAATGCCAAAGAGAACATAAAAGAACGACTTACCGTCTTACAATAGAAGACACCTTCAATGGATCTTTTCGTATTCGAGATTAGCAGACATTTCGAAAGCAATATGTATTAAATAAATATTGATGCAATACAGTTGACCTTTTTCGATCTGGACCACTGGCGGGGGCTCTTTCGATTCGATTCGTAAAAGAAAATCAGTTTAAAAAACAATCTCGGAATAGTTCCGCGAACCGTAGTAGGGATAAAGTGACTTGTGCTCGAAGTTCGGGTAAAATCGCTGGGATTCGGAGGAGAAGTAAACGTAAACGAAACGGAAGAACATTTAGGAAAAAGTGATAGGTACGGTAGAAATAGAGCAAGAACGATATTACAAGGGGCCGTATATATGTATATAGCTATATGGTGAGAGAGAGATAGAGCGAGAAGGAAGTTTGGCTGACATTCGGACAATGCTGGCGTGGTGCTGTCGCGTTCGGCTCCTGGTTATGGCGGGTGCACAATGCCTATTGTCGACTAACCTACTGTAGAAACGTGTGTGCCAACGCTTCCACACAACGGACCGGTGGTCTAGGCCTTCGCTTTGCCTCCCTGTTTCTCCTCAACTGCACGCACGTTGCTTTTTCTTTCACACCCGCGGGAGACACGGGCCAGTTCGCGTAACTCGTGGCTTCTGGCAAGGGCAATAAGATCTACCGGACCGCCGTACGCCCGCAAACAGAACGATATTGATTTCCTTTTTTCGATAAACTGCGAGGAGACTCGCTGCGGGCGAGGGGGCGGCGAGCCCCGAGGAATAAAATCGCCGCGAATCCGGAAGGGCGAGGATGGAAGAAAGCCGTCAACTTTGTTCGAGCGTACGACGGATCCCCGTAACATTTGAAATTCGTATTTAATCACAATTTATTGTTCGCGGTCGCGCGAGGAATTCTTAATCCCGAGGAGCCGTTGCGTCACGTAGCGGTAACGAGATATACGAAGTAACGAGGAAAGAATTCGCTTCGTTACGCAGTCCATCGCGCGAACGGTCGAGCCAAACCTGACCTCCCCGACCTCTTTCCATTCAGTTCGAACCGATGTCCAATAGTTTGAATTCAATCATTTGCAAATCTCGATCTCGTCCGGCTCTTATTCCCGATAGATCGGACCGACGCGGAAATTGGGTTCACTTTCGGGAAATGAGACATCTCGATCCTCTCGCTTGACGGACCGATCGCGATCGTTGGAGAATTCTGTTCCGTGACCAGGGACTCAAAGCCTTAGACAACGCGCGCGCGCATGCGCCCTTTCTATCTTTTTCTGCCCCCATCGAAATAACGTTGTTAAGAGAGTGGAATTCGCCGGGTAACACACGAGGCGGGCGAGGTACCCGGATATTTTGGCGAAACGTTAGCGTTAATATCCCGATTCGGCCCGTTATTCGGCGATACGTAGTAAAGAGAACGAGAGAAACGCGTGCTAGCCATATTGGCATACACGCCGCCTGCGTTTTACGGCTGTATTCAGCGATTTTGCATATTGAGCGCGCGCTGCTGTGTATGTGCGTGGATTGCAGAAAAGGGAAAAGGGCGAGAAAGATCGAACGAGCCGGAGACAGAAGGGACGGCACGAGGACGTGGAAGAAAGCAAGACGGGAAAAGGGACATCGTCGTTATCCTTTTTCCAGCAGTGCCGTTGGAACTACTGCAAGCCCATTCACCTTTTCCACACCGATTCACATATATACAGCAATCGCAGACCTCCTTGAGAGCTCAATTTATCGCGAAACGGCCTCCACCGCCAGTACAAAGTGAGCCGATGCATGGAACGTACGGTCCTCTCTTCGAACAAATTGTCATAATTGAATAACCAGCGAGATAAGCGAGCGTCGCTTTGACCGTCGCTGCTTTCCCTGTTAAACTCGCGGCCGGGATTCATACGGGCTGATCCATTTAACCCTCGAGTGTCTCGAGTCCACTTGATACGCGATCCGGTCTCCCCTCACTGTATTTCGAAGCCCTGTGTATTTCGCTTTCGTTTCTACCAGTCAACGGATTAACCAATTTTTTAACAAAAAAAGCACACACACATACTTTTTCTCGACAGTGTGCTCTCTCGATCGAGTTCGGCCCTCTTAACACGCCTAGCTAGTATTATACGGATCTACAATAACGTGGTCCTTACCTAGGGGTCAAAATTGTTGTTATTTAGTCTTTCTTTTTTTACGCACCCCCGTAAATCGTGACCCTTGACGAAGAACTCATTTATGCCAAATTTTAGCGTGATTGGGCCACGTGCCGCGTTTGGATTGAAGTTTTGAAATTATAAAATCGAAAAATAAGGGTCACCTTAAATTTTAAATCAATTCGTCAGGTAGATTTTGAGATATCATGGATATTGTTCTGGTAATCACAGTTTCGAGAAAAACGCTTTTAACGTTTTGTATCCCTATAACAATGACGTTGCTCATCGAGTTCTTTAAACAGCCATAATTTTTTCCAAACTATATTCTTTGAGAAAATACAAAAAAAAATCGATTTTTTCAAAAGTACACACTAGAAGACCCCCTTAAATCAAATTCGATTATTTAAGCAATCTTGATTATCAATATTTTTCTTTAAATACATTTAAATCTGGAATTTGCATTCAAATACAATTCTATAATTTTAGCAAACTTATCCTAGTCAGTTTTATAATATTTCTACCTGTGTGTATATCAATGATTTGAGAAATGAACGCTGCCCCACGAATCTCAAAATATAGTAAGATCGATTATTTTCTAGGTGTTTTTGCAATAAATCGGTATAATTATAGGCAACAGTAGCTGATGCAATTCCTTTGAAGGATACAAAACAAGAATCGAACCGAAATATCTGACGAAACTGAGAAAGAGAGCCTGGAACGAAATAAATGAGAACAGGAAACTGAGGTGCAGATATCGAGGGTAGCTTTAACGGCCTTTTGTTTGGTTAACTTCATTGCTTCCCGGCTTGGTGGTAATTGCCACAATACAGGGCGCGGAACTCAAAGGAGAATAACAAAAATGGTTAATCGAACGACAAGTCGATCCCTAATTTTCCTCTTGAGACCCATTGCCTCCATTTTGATTCCCTTTACTTCACATGCGCGCAATGTGCAGAGCAGATCTGGCAGAAATTTATTTCAAATAATAATTTTAAAGCAATTGTTCGTATCCTCCAAACGAGGAACTGTGCTTAGCACGTATTTTCTTGCGGGATTGTGGAATGATAGAGAATCAAAGGCGTTTTAAATGATAAACAATGATTTGTTCTCTGTTAAAGCTTCAAATATAACTATGCATTCGAATTGAGTCAACAGTAACCATTCCAAATAATGTTAATTCGTATATTATGAAGAATATATTTCAATCGATCTTAGGTTCTTCGTTTGTTCAATTAATACAAAGTCTCGATAAAATGTGCTATTATGTAACCATCAAAAACATTACAATTTTAGTGTCTCGAAAAGATGGAGATATACCAATTTTGAATCGATCTTACGACGATTGGAAATAATCAGTATCGTCGAGTTATACGGTCCACCCATTCGGTAGGCGTAAAAATAGGGTAGCGCGACAAAACTCGCAATAACGTACAGACTATCGTAAAGTGTTTTCTGTCTCGTGTCTCCGTGCTCTTTGAAAATTGCACAGAATGCTTTCTCATTCCAAGCACGATCGAGCGTTACGGAAATTTGGATTGACCGTTCCGGCCTGGAACAATTCGTGGCTTTGCGGCGAGGGAAAAGAGCAGAAGGCAGTAAAAATATTTGACCGCAGTGCCGTGAGATCTCTCGGCGGTCATCCGATATTTATGAAGAACAAGTGACTCACGGAGCCGTATTCGAGGTGTACAGACTAAGTACGCTATTCTCTGGGCGTCCTGTGAAACACGAGCAGAGACTCGCAAGAAACATATAAGAAATGGATTTTTTCTGGCTTATTTAATAGCGGCCATATTTTTTTTTTTAATTCAAAGCGATAGAGCGATCGCAAAGTAAAAGTTTCTCTCTAACTTTATACTTTTTTTATACGAAATGATTAACTGAATCGATTAGCGTATGAACAAATATTTCATTTAAAAAAACAAACTTGACATTCGAATGCCATCGAATAACGACCGTCTCGAAAATATTCAAATTGTATCCGAAGTATTCTTCGAGAGTTTCAGAAATATTCCAACAATCATTAAAATGTAATGATTCGAGATACATGGTGTTGGCAACGCTACAATTCAAACACTGTAAACGGTTAGTTTCCATAGTTAGTCGAATCTAAGCTAAGTTTTATCGACACGATTCTATGTACCGTATATACGCAAGTATTATATGCTTGAGCGTGTAAACGTCGCGAGAATTAACTGTTCGTCAAAGTTTCTCCTGCTGGCGAATTCAGGATATTAAAGACATTTCTCCAAGCGTCAACCCGGCGATGTTTGCTTGATTTTCAAGGCCAGTTTGCGAATTACTCTCGCGTCTTGCCCTTCTCGGTCACTTGGTAAATTTCACCGTCGTCTTCGCTAATCATCACCGTGCGCTCCGAGCAAGTTTCA